TGATATGCCTGTGTGTGTGTGTGTGTGTGTGTGTGTGTGTGTGTGTGCCCTAGCCTTTCTCATTACTTCCACTTGTCATTGCCAAAGGTGTTGTTAGATTGATTGTCATCTCATCCCTATTTTTCTTAGGGTATACTCAGACAGACAGTTCATATCTTAAAACAATAATTGCCAAAAAAAACATAAAAAGTTATATTCATATATTATTTCAAATCCAGAATAATATATCTGGATGTAACAATTACTAGTCAATGATGGGTCAAATTAGACTACATATATATATATATATTTGTTTCCAGCATTCAGTGCATGGTGCTTTTCTCAGTCAAACATTTGAGACAAGAACACCACCACTGATTAAAACCAGCATGAAGACAGGGCAGGGGAAGACAAGTGGCCCATCTTCTTTTGTTTTTTAAAAATTATTTCATTCTTGTTATCTGTTATCTGAGCTGAGTATGTTAAGAACTATAATCAGTCATTGCCCTTATGTAAAACGTAACATCTATAGTGAAATCTGTGTTGTTAGCTGGCTAACAGGCTAACTTTTTGACACGTCCGTGTGTCGTTAACATATATGAGAAAATGACCTGAATAAACAAATCACATTTAGTCTCTTGTAACTGATAATGCTCACATTCAGTCAAAAAAACGGTTTACTAATAAAGATTTTCTTTCTATCTCGAAATCTATTTGTGACATGTACACTCTTTCAGAAGCCTCAGTGCTTCTATCTTACTTTTCCACCTCTTGCATCTCTTGACTGTTTCTCTGTCACTCTTACATGTATGTATACTTTAGTATTTTCACTAAACACAAAGTAACATAAAGGTTTTCCATTCTTCTCTCCTTTGTGTAGGTGAGTGTTTGTGTATTGTGCACTGCATAAGTATTCACTCACCTTGAACTTTTCCACATTTTGTGGTTAAAACATGGACCTGAAATGGACTTAATTGGGATTATATGTCATGAAGCTACACAAAAATGCCCATCAATTACTTACAATTAAAAAACATAAAACTGTTTTGTTTGCATAATCGTTCACCTTCATTGCCCTTAAATTAATGATTCAGCCAGGTGCCATCAGAAGTCACATAATTATTTGAATGGAGTCCATCTATGTGCAATTAAACACCTGTTCCAGGCTTCAGAGTTTGCTGGATTATACCTAAGCAAACAGCATCATGAAGACCAAGGAGCTATCAAAACAAGTCTGGGACCAAGTTCTTTTTTTTTCCCAAGTATTTCTTAGGGTTTGGTTATTAAAATGTCCCAGAATTTGAACATCCAATGGAGCACTGTTAAATCCATTATTAAAAATGGAAAGAATATGGCACAACTGCAAATCTGCATAGAGGTGGCTGTCAACCAAAAGTCAGAGACCGGGTAGAGATTGGATTAGTCATAGAAGAAACCAAGAGGCCAAGGGTAACTCTTACCATGATGCTATAATGACATATAATCCACTTCAGTTGTAACACTACAAAATATAGAAAAAATATAAGGGGTTGAGTGTTTGTGTATTTTGCCTTGAATGTCTGCACTCTTCTCTCTGCAGGTCAGTGTTCTCGTGTTTGTGCATATGTGTTTTGACTGGAGCTCTGCACTCTCTTTCCTCACCACAGGTGTGCCAGTGCCCATGATGGAGCTGAAAGACAGCTGTGCCAGCGAGGGCAGCCATGAAACAGAAAGCGCTGGCACAGGCAACCTGCCAGGCCCTTTGTCCTGGCACTTGTTTGCCCAGCGCAGCACACTACATGGCCTGCGTTACGTTTTCCCACACCGACGCTCCTCAGCACTGCGACGTCTGCTCTGGAGCGCAGCTCTACTGGCCTGTCTTGGTTTGTTGGCACTGGAGGCTGCGGAGCGTGTAGCCCACTTCCTGTCATATCCACATGTGGCTAGCGTGGGTGCTGTGCCTGCAACGAGCCTTGTGTTCCCTGCTGTCACCGTGTGCAACCTGAATGCCTACCGCTTCACACGGCTCACGCGTAATGACCTATACCATGCAGGAGAATTGCTGGCACTGCTTGACGTGCATCTGCATGTGCCCGAGCCACAGCTGGCCGAGCCCCACGTGCTTGACTTTCTCGCAGAGCGTGCCAATTTCAGTGGCTTCCGGCCCAAACCGTTTAGCATGCGCGAGTTCACTGAGCGCGTCGGCCATGACCTACACGAGATGATGCTTTACTGCCGCTATGAGGGTCAGGAGTGCAGCCACCGGGACTTCAAAACCGTGAGTCTCCTGTTTTTTATATATATATGTATAGTTCATGGCTTTGGAGAGACAGGAAAAGCCAGACTGATTGTTCTTGAGAAATACAGTAAGGTTGGATGTGTAGCCGGCAACTCATAACTTTATGTGGGTTGGGTTTTGGCCACTTAGCGGATCATTTAAAATGTATAGTAAACCCTTGGTTGGATTTGAAATGGGTTATCTAACATCTTCAGCCTTGTTAGGTGTCCTCACTTACTATGAATAAAAATATACAATTACTTTAGGAGGACAGGTTCACTACACATGTTTAGAAATGCATATTAGAAGCTTTTTTCTGTAGACACAAACCTGTCTGGCGTGATAATAGTGATACTATGCTAATCCTAAAACGGCAGCTGTCTCCGATGAAGCAGTCCCAATTACCACCATAATGACACACTGTTTATTTAAAGATTTGACCATTAAATTGGAATGAGTGGTATAGATAGGGATGAAATGGGTGAATGTGGGTGCTTCTGCTCATCTAGAGTTTTCTACTCTAATTTTTTTCTCCATTTCCAGTCATTCTCTCTTGTTAAGTCTTGGATTTCTCCCATGCTTATGCCCAAAGGGAATACATAGAATCTTGTATACGTAGAATACTGAATCCTGTATCCTGTATATGTAAAATACAGAGTCAAGTACAAAGACATTAGGGTGGCTATGTATATATAAACTTCTATTACTTTCTGTGTTGGGTCTTTTTTGTAGATGGTTACTAATTACTTTAAATGTTTCTGCATGTAAGAAAAAAGAAAGAAAAAAGACAAAATTGCACTCTCTGGTCCTGTTTTTAGACCTTTTTTCTACTCTGTGCGTCATGTCTCATCAGAAGTAGCGAGAGGGAGATGTGAAATGACTGTGTGCTGTCTGCTTTGAAGATTCCCCTTTAGAGATAAATGTGTGTGTGTGTCTGTGCTCCCTTGGGGAGTCTGGCTGGCTGTGTGTGTGTGTGTATTCTGCTGTGACCCACTTCCACACACAAAAATCATGCGCACACACACACCCTGCACTTGCAGACCTTGAGGATGCTAAAGTTTCTGGGTAGAAAAGTAGTAAAGGGAAAATTTATTGTGACACACCTCAGTTACGGGGGATATTCTTATAAATCAACACATTTAGGCTACGTTGACCTTTGCTGTTTTGTTGATTCGTTGACCCGGATTAAGTACTGCCCAGTGGAGTAAACATTCAGCTGGTCTCTTTTAAGAATTGACTGTCATCGAGAGTGTTTACCTTTTGAGGCAAAAACTGGCAATACAACTCATATCTCAAAATGTAGTCATAGTTAAGAATGAAGATTAAGTACAGGTTAATGTGCCAGATTAGCATAATGTCAGTAACAGTTGCTATTCAGGTACATCAGGCTGTTATTTTAGTTGTAGCAACTTTAAGGAGGCCTTGGAGGCAAGGAAAGAGGTGTGAATGAACTCTATATCACTGTTTTTGAACCATTCCAGGAACTCTAGAGGGGCTTTTTTGCTGTGACGCAGAGCCCGGAGAGACCTGGGCTGGAATTATCCTCCACTGTAATCATGATGTCTGTCCACCTGCCTGGGAAACCATCAGATGGTTAAAATAAATTGGAGATGGTATCTCTCCCATGATGCTGTCCACACATGGCAAAACAAATCACTTTAATATCATTACACCTCTTATTTGTTCTGCTGTAGCAAGAACAATCGCAAAACGAATCAGTGGCCATGAGAAACCTCACAAACTATGTTCAAGGAGTGTCAAAATTGTCTAAACAATGAAGTTTTAGACAATTGATAAAGCCAGGGCTTTTTAAAAAATTTTTTGATAAAATAATCGCATTTCACATTTAGGGATAAATAAATATGCATCTTATTTTAAAATAAATGTTTATACAGTTTACATTTATATTGACAAGCACCAATGTAGTTTTAATGAATTAATTTTTTTTTTATTTTAGATATGCAAGTACATGGAATGACCAAAACATAGTAATTGGCATACATTTTGATTATAAGTCTCTTAGTACTAATATACAGAAGTCTTTAAAAAACATATTAAAAGTAAAAGTTTTAAAAGTTAAAAGTTTTTTTAATTACATACACTTAGTATATGAGCAGCATGTTGAACCAACATGTTGATCCCAAGTGTGACAGTGTGCTGAGTCTGTGGTTATAGGTAGTAATTACTGTGTTTTGATCATGGCAATGGAGTCCTCCCTGAGTAAAGTGTAGTTTAGTTTTAAATATTGCTACTGCTGCAGTGGTAGTAAGGACTAGATGTAGGTCTAACGCAGGGGTGTCAAACTCACTTAAGTGGATAAACAACAGACCAATAGTGCATCTTACCACCTCTTAAATGTGTTCATTTATTAACATTTATCTGAAAAGTACATTCCAAATACACAAATGGATTGAACATCACCTACAAAACAGATTAACACACTGCAATTCATTAACCAAAAATAAAAAATAAATATCTCCTATAAAATTGAAGTGGTCTAATTAGATTTTTTTATTTTACCATTTAAAAAAATGTAAACAATGATTGGATAAGTGTTCACCCCTTTTGCTGTGAAACCCTTAAGAGTGATTATTTTGGAAAGAGACATGCTTAGAATATCAAAGTTTTAGCTTGTTAATGAAGAAATACATCATTAGCACATTTTGTCAGTAGCTGAGTTATGGCCTGAACTGAGTTAATTGCTCTATTTTACCCCTAGTGGAATAATAGACTAGCTCCTTTTTTAAAATTCAGTTTAATTAGGGTAGTGATGGCTTAGTGGTTAAGGCATTGGGTTACTAATCAGACGCCTGTGAGTTCAAATCCCAGCACTGCTGTTGAGCAAGGCAACCTTAACCCTCAACTATATCCTGTGTTGGTGTGAGTTACTTTGGATGAAAGCGTCAGCTAAATAATGTAAATTGTGTTCCACATGCAGCACTGGCTGGTTCTGGCTGTGTGTTTGACACCCATGGTCTAACAGCCTTATTTTGATATTGTACATGTTTTCTAGCTTGTATAGCACACAAGGCAGATAAACCGGCTTTGTTTATGTCCTTTCTCTCATTTGACTGCTCATCTTTTCAGGTCAAAGAAAGGTTTAGTTATAATTTGGTACACAGAATCTTTGATACATAGAAGACATTGTTTAGTATGTCCCATCAATCACCATCTCTGGCTTTAGCTGAAAATCTAGGCAGTTATTTCAAGGCAAGGCCTTTAGACTTCTGACTTTAGGTTTAAGCACCTTTTAAGCAAATTTTAAAAACTTCTTAGCTTGTATGCTATAATTTATACTGGTAACAGACCTTAGGCTTTCACTGTTTCACAAGATTCACCAGTCTTCAGGTTGCTAATGTCAAAATAAGATAAAGTTGTTATTTTAAATAAGAAAATACCAAGAAAGAATAATCTGGTGTAATAACATTAATTGATTGTAAAAAATCTGCTCAAAGGCTTTGGCTCTTTCTTGTGTATCTCTTCTAAAACAGTGTCATAATGCTTTAAATACTTTTTTTTAAGCTTAGTGAGTCAACATTATCCTGATAATTTCTTCTCCTGGAAGAAGGACAGTCTGTTTATACCTATCTTCTGTGACAAGGGACCAAAACAGCATTGTTCATTTGTTATTGGATTGTTTTGTGCATTGCTAAGAGATTAAGAGTGTGTATGTGTAGAAGATAAATGAGTGCAATATAGCAGTACAAGACTTCAATAATGATATTTTAAATAAATATTAATATGTTTGTGAGCTTCAATGCCTCTGACTTGAGTAAAAGGACATGAGTGCATGCATATGTTTGAGTGAGCACTGTGTGTACTTGAGTGTGTATTCTTGAACTTGATGACAACTAATGGTCCTAGAAATAGTCCTTTTAGGAAAAAGGAATAATTATCTCCAACAATGATAAGTTCATAAAGAGTAGCACTGAGCACTAAAGCATGTGTGGAAGTGTGTGGGCCCAGGAGAGCAGTAAAAATAGCATCATGTGAAGAGGTGTGTGAAATCACTGTGAGATAATGCAGGAGAAAGGATATGTGTGTATATGGTAACACAGAGGCTAGATGTGTGTGTGTGTGTGTGTGTGTGTGTGTGTGTGTGTGTGTGTGTGTAAAAGCATGATCACATAGAGTAGATGAGTACCAGAAGAGTAGGACAGATGGACAGACCTGGGAATCTGTACTTTTTGTGTTTTTCCGGTTCTAACACACCTGAATTAGTTTATAAAGTGCTTAGCAAGTAGCTAATGAGCCAGGTCAGGTGTGTCGCATTACTGAAGACACTAAACCATGCGGAGCTTGGGCTTCCCAGGAGAGTGGAGTATATCATCAGCTGCACTCAGTAGATCTTCGCACAAACTTGATATATTTATTATACTACAAGTGTGCTTTCAGGATTCATATGGCAGCTTGCATGTGGTGGCAAAAGTTAGTGTTAAGCAGAGTGAACATGTGTATGAGTGTGGGAGCGTGATAGGGTTTATTTTAGGATGTGACTGAGTCTTGATGAGCACTCCAACAACCAACATCAATGTGTCAAATTGCATTGAAATCAAAGTCAATGCCTTGTTTCACCCTGAATGTCTTGCGTTTCTCAGCGCGCCATCTCCATTAAGCCAAATAACATCTGTCACTCAGAAACAATCTTCTTAAATGTGATTCATTATTTTCAACAGTCAGGCTGTTTTGTTGATGTATTTGAAGGTTAACTGTGCTCAGTGACTGACAGTTTTTATATCGAAACCACTATTTGAAAGAGTGCAATTTATAAATCACAAGGGCCTTGATTAAAACTATGATGTAGCAACATTTTTTTGTTATTTTTCCCCATTTTCTCCCCAATTCTCCCCAACAGACACCCAAGATTGGTTTGTGTTGTTTTGACTGACATGGGAGAGAGAGAGAGTATGCTTATCCCTCACACCCAGACAGCACAACCAGTTTTGCTCTCTTTGCTCCCAAGGTGGCTGTGGCATTGTTGGGATTTGAACCCGTGATCTCTGGACGATATGGCAAGTGCTTTCTGTTGCTTGTCGATAAGAACATCTGAATGTTGATCTGCACTTGTCTACATATGGCTGGGAAAAAAATAGAGCCTAGGACTGCACGAATGCAGGACCTGGTCAGCTGTTTTAGTAACTTCAAGGCAGAGAAAATGCCTGAAGCCATGTACACTTGTATTTTGCTCAGTTTCTATTTTAAGATAATTTTATTGCATTTTAAGCATTTTCACCAGTTGAAAATATATAAGAACATGCTCTTTTGTCCTGTGTTTCTAGTATTTCCTGAATTCTCTCAGAAACATGGACAAGGAGTACTTATAATGTTCAAAATTATGGATCTTTAAATAAGGGGAAGCTCCAGTGTTTTTGCCCATAGTCATTTTTTGGTTGCCCAGAACTTAATAAACATTTATGTAATGTAAAGAGAACCTAGTCGTAGCTGCTGCCATCCATGAAATTGACAGTTGTCTTAAAATATTAATTTTGTTTTGCCACTTGTTCTGTTTGCTCTGAAAATTAATATATTGTTTTTCACCTGTGGTCTAGTTTTGCTGAATTCTGTCAGAAACAGGGACAAGGAATAGTCATAATGTTCAACATATGGATGTTTAAACAGTGGGCCTATGCAATCTATGGGTTATGGTGGAGGACAAATGATAAATTCATTAGCTAGCCATCTGGGCAAGTAAAAGCTCTAATGTTCTTGCAGAGTCGCTGCCTTACCCCTGGGAACATAACTGGCTAGGCCAAATGGTGTAGAAAATGTAATTTAGGTGAACCAACTGAATTCCTGGGTGGAGAACTAACCTGTGGAGCAATATCATTATGCTCTCCTAACAAAGTTCCTAATGTGCCCTTGACAAAAATCAGCAGGTCGTTGGTCAACAAGCTACAAGCTGAGGTGTTTACATGTAAAACATCACATCACATGTAAAATTATATTTTAAAGTCTGAATGCTGTCTCAAAAAAATGTTTAATGGCCAGATGACTGTAAGTTATTGCAGGAGAGTTATATGACAGCTTTATGCTGCATTTTATTTCGCTTGTTTTCATCAGTGTTTTTACCTGCAAGGTCCTGATTCTGAAATGATCGTCTGCATGCTCTTTAAAACACATATAGTAAAAATCATACAAACGACAACCAGATTGCACTTCAGTGGGAATTCGTTATAGTTATAGCATTGAGGTGCGTCAAACTGCCACAAAGTGCATTATGCTTACAAAATGCATATTAAATAAAAAAATGTTTATTTCAAGAAAGTCAGCAGGAAATGTGTTCCTTTTCTTTCTCTGGTACTTGAAACTATGGGCATCTACCAAAAAAAAAAAAAAACCTGGACATGAAATTCTGATAACTTTTCCCTGTTGTGCTTAGTGCCTGAAGTGCCTTACTCTAATTGGTAGCCTAGTACATGAGTTTTTCTCTTCAGACCTCATCTGAGGTCATAGCCACTGCGCTTTTGGGGTAAAAACATCAACTCAGATTAGCTGTGACATGTTCTGTCTCACAGCGCTCAAATGGTCTTAATACCAAATACAACATTCTTGAAGCTATTTAGTCAGAACTTCTGGATAATAAACAGATCGCTGCTGGCTGCCGTGAAATTACGTTTTGTCTTAAAGTATTATTTTGGTTTTGCTGGTGGTTTTGCCACTGTTCTACATGTAATGAAAAATCAATATATTGTTTTTTCCCCTCTGTGATTCTAGTTTTGTCACGCCTATGATTATCTGCATATAAGAGGAGAAAGCACTGAATGTTCCTGCAGTGTCAGGCAGAGCGGGAGTAGTGTTTACAGCCAGCAAAGTGGGATCCATGATGTGTAGCCAGGGCATGATTGCAGTGAAGATCACTACCATCAAATTTATTATTAGTCATTAAAGTTATAAGCATAATTGGCTGGTAGAACCGAATAGGTCTAGGCAGATATACTCATGTGTTTCAGACTGAAATTCTCTTTTTGCTTTTATAGTAATGTTGTAGGTATGTCGTGGCATTTGGATGTTCTTTGCATTATCAGAATATGTTGGCCCCCATGACATTTCAGATTTTGTACTGCACTGTACCTCGAGACTATGACCTTTCTCAGATCTTTATTATTTCCCCTGCTAGTGTTTCTTTTTCTGTAGCGAAGGCTCTCTGTGGACCAGCTTTTTAATGCTGCCTGCTGTTGCCTTTCCTCTTCCTTCTTCACCCCTTCTTTGATTTTTACTTTCACACACATGCACACACCTCAATGCTGATACAGTAGATTATGCTTTCTGTCTGTTGACAGCAAGGAGATTGCAGTGGACAGTTCCCTCTCCACTAATATAGTTGTGTGTGTGTGTCTTAATAATTTCAACCAATGTTAATAGCAATCCTTAAATAGAAAGATGATCCAGTACTAACTATCTATCTATCTGTCCATCTATCTACATACAGTTGTGTAAACCTTCTTAATGACAGTTTGGGCAGTGGAAATTGCAAGCTTTTATCACCTTCCTCTACCTAGTAGGCATCAATTAGATTTGCAGATGCAGACAGCTGCATGGTTGAGTGTTAGCACAAGGTGTGAAGTGTCAGAGGATTTATTACGCTCTGGAATTGTCATTCCTAATGAGACTTGCCTATATGAGTCTATTATGTTCTTAAAATGAATTACTTATATTCTGAGATTTAATTGTCCAAATTTTTGCACATGCTACAATTAGTATTTTATTTTTTTCTAATTTTTAATTTAATTAAATATAAAGTAATTATAACATTAACATTTGCAGAAATATATATATTTTTGAATAGTTTGCTGCAGAGGTTGTGTTAATGTCTTTTCAACCTCAGAAATCAATAAA